TACCTATGTAGTGTTTGGAGATCAGGTTTTCCAACAATCTGTTGGAATCTTCATGGGTACCAACTGCGCCCTCTTATTAGCAGACCTATTTTTGTATTCATATGAAGCAGAATCTATTCAAAAACTTCTACATGAGGAGAAGAAAACACTTGATACGGCCTTCAACTCGACATTTCGATATATCGAAGACGTATTATCAATTAACAATAGTTACTTTCATTCATATGTCGACTCGATATATCCTAGTGAGCTTGAAATAAAAGATACCACAGATTTTGACACATCTGTTTCATATTTATATATTTTACTAGAAAAAGACGTCAATGGTAACCTAACAACAAAGCTTTATGATAAACGTGATGACTTCAACTTTTCTATTGTCAACTTCCCTTACTTATGTAGCAATATACCCTTATCATCTGCATATGGGGTTTATGTCTCTCAGTTGATTCGATACGCAAGAGCATGCTCTACGTATGAACAATTTCTAAAACGAGGCAAGCTACTGACAAACAAGTTGATGAAACAAGGATATCAACAGTCTCGTTTGAAGTCATCTTTTCGCAAGTTTTACGGTCGATACAATGACCTTGTCAGCACATACAACCTATCATTGAGTCAAATGCTGACTGACGTTTTTCATACTAATTGTTAGACCATAATTTATACACCTAACTGTCTACGGATTTTTTTTGGGTTTATTCCCCCGATCATGACAAGGAGCACACGGCGGGTGTGACCGGTAGGAAGGGGATGCTCACATCTCCATGGCACCTGCTCCCAAATCTAAATTTTAAGGTCCGTGTTTGCTCTGCTCCAAATTTGTATCGTTTCAATGGACTTTCGAGATGGAATACTGTTCGTTATCTTCATATTTTATTCAAGTGTTTGATGTCCAGGAGCAAAAAGGATATAAAGTGGGAATATATTGCAATCAGTAAAGTTTTCTTTTTGCGAATTTGACTACCTTATCCAAATTATTCTCAAATTTCCTGTCGGTTCACGTTTAAAATAAAATGTCACAATTAGTTGCCTTAAAGGGGCCTGAACACAGTTGCATTGCTGTTTTTGTTTGCATTTTTTAATTTCTAGTTTAACTAAAAAAGAACCTCAGTTTCATAAATTGAACTTACATGAAAATTCTTGAAATTTAAGACAAAAACATTCTTCATAAAATGATATAAAACACCTGTATTTGTAAACAGGGCACGAGCTCTGCTATTGTTAATGTTTACATTTTACCGGTAACGTTCAATTTGTTTCCTTTGCTCACATCACTGAACACGGACTGACAATACTGGTGAGTTGGTCTTGCCTTCTCATCTTTTACTCTGAATTTTCTGGATTATAATTTTAATATTTTTTATTATAACAAAACACTTTTCAACTTTTCTTCAATATTAAGGATAAAATTTACATTATGAAAGTGCAAGGACGTGTGTCAATCAAACGCGTCCCTAAATTCTTAGTTTAAATAATGTCTAGACAAAAGAAGTTTCTATTCACGCCTTTATAATATTTATGTGTGAAATGCTCTAGCAACATATGTCATTATATCAAAATTTTTTTTAGAAAATATTAACTTCAAATCTGTGTCCAGGCTCCTTTAACAAAATGGTTTTCTTCCGATATTTTCTTGTCTTGAATCATTTTTCTTATACCTCAAAATATTTTTTACAAATCGAATAGGATTAAATTTCATCTGCTGCTTATATATGTTAAAGCGCTTCCTTTATACAATATTGTAAAATATTTTACCTTTTTGCTCCTCGGATAATGGTTTCTCCCTGAATTTGGGGGAAGGGGGGTTACCTCTAGAAACATGTATTTCTTCTAATTGACCAATAAAATTTGTCTTAATTTCGAACACAAACTCTGAATGTATTATTTTTTAAACCATATAGTATTAACACAATTTTGAAGCATCAGGAAATAAGATTTTAATCAGTCTACAGTCTCAGTTTTAATATTAAATCCACAGAGTGTGTTAATTTCGACGCAAAATGTTATAATCCAAAATGTATATTTTTACATTTAGCAAAATGTAATAATTCAAAACTATAACAGTTATTACATTCTGCGTTGACTTGATGCAAAATGTTATAATCTGCTTCTTACATTTTGGGTTATTGTTCATTTTGAGTTGTAACTACCCATAAAACATGCCGGTGTCACTTTCTTTCGGTCGTTCATAATTACATGTATGACTTCAAAAGCAGCTGGACATAAAATGCCTTGATTTTCAAGAAAGCAAAATGGCGTTTAGAAGGCCCACAAATTATAATTTGATATAAAATTGATCAATTCAACATTTTCATCGATATGTATTGAAAAAGAAACCATTCATAAAGAAATATCATTAAAAATACATAAAGAAAATTACGAGTATAAACTACATACATGTAGCAATCATATCAATAATTTTTAATTGTCAGTTAAAGAAATAATTTTTAGGTAAGTGTAAATACTGGGGGGAAAGGGGATTCCATTTATCATGTGGACGTTTACCATCGGGAAATTGTTTATTTCTCTGCCAAACAATGGTGCAGAAAATTTTCATTTACTATGATTGTGATACAATCTGATTAAAATCAGATCCTTTGATCCGCTCCCATAGATCGCTACACAAGGATCTGAAGAAACCCCATTCAGGGTCATCTCCTGGTGACCTTTCAATTATCCAATCAAACGTTTGCTTAAGGTAATTTAGAAGTATCTCGGAATTCAGTTAAAGAAGTAAAAGACCCGATGATACACGAACGGAAAATCATGACCTGGTTTCCGTAGCCTGTCAAAAGAATGACCACAGTCTTTTCTGTACAGAAATATATTTAGGATTTGCTTTGCCTTGTTTTTTATCTCTTTGTTTTGTACGAAACGATATGATCTTCTCCACAGCTACTTTCACTTCTACATTCATTTTCCCGAATGTCGCTTAAGTACGATCTCTCTGATTGCTCAAAACTTTAATAAATATTTTTATTAGAAAGGTCACCAGGAGATGACCCTGAATGGGATTTCTTCAGATCCTTGTGTAGCGATCTATGTGAGCGGATCAAATGATCTGATTTTAATCACATTGGATTGTGATATTTCTTCCACTGTACGAGTATGGGTCGCCCGTGTAAGTAGTGGTAAGAGCGTTCGCTCTAGAGTCGCGGAGTAAGGAGTTAATCCTTACGTCACGGGTTCGAATCCCACTGCGGGACGTGGAGACCGTCCTTCGGATGAGACCGTATAAACCGAGGTACCGTGTCGCAGTAGGTGCTGCTACGAAAAAGATTCCTCACTGCTCAAAATTTGCAGCCTCCACCGGTGAATGACGGTGTCTCAATACAAGTGAAAAATTCTCGAAGGGACGATAAACAATCAAATCCACCTGTATGGTGTACATTGTTTTATTAATTATTTGAAACCTATTTTTCTTTAAAAATAGTAATAACATTATTTCCTCAAAAACTATTCTTGAAAATAACAAATATAAATGATACATATAAAAAAGAGATAAAAATGTGCCATCATATCATGTGTCATGAAAAAAAGTTTATTCATGAGGTATTTGTGTAAGAGCTCACCGGATGTTTATTTACAATGCGTAGATATTAAGTAAACAGTCTTACAAAAATTGTAAATAAAAGACTTGTTTGTTTTTCTACTATAGATGATAAAAATAATTGATGGCTACATTTACCAGGAAAAATAATTGATGGATACATTTACCAGAAAGGATATTTTGGAAATTTATAATTTACACACTGTAACGAAAGTCAATACACTGATTTCGAAAGACCTTCAAATACATCTTCTAAAGTACACATATGGATCATTATATTACAAATAAATTGAATATTTACAATACGTTCTATAGAAAACAATCAAATTGATCCTCCTTAATTCAGTTTTGATTCAATTTTCATATACATTTCATTACTAGTATTTGGTTTGAGATTACAAATACTTCCACATATATATATATATATATATATATATATATATATATATATATATATATATATATATATATATATATATATAACTAGTATTTGGTTTGAGATTACAAATACTTCCACAATATATATATATATATATATATATATATATATATATATATATATATATATATATATATATATATATATATATATATATATATATATATATGAGTAAAAAAATAGGAATTAGATGATTTGGTGTCATTAATGTACAATCGTATATTATTATAGTATATTTTGGCGTTATTCAATTTTACAAATTAAACATGCAACTACACTAATTATATTAGATTTTTATTCATATAATTTAAAGAATGTAAAAGTTCATTCCATTATAAAGAAGAACACTTATTTCATCAATTTTTAATCAGTAAGAAAGTTCAAAAATGAGATGACAGATGGAAATTTTTCATAAATGTAAATAAATGTTCCACTGCAAGCTGAGGAGCTTAAACATTTATGCTAAAAGTTTCTGTTCAACTGCAAAAAAATATTTCCAAGTTGTAGGTACCTACTAGCAATGAATGGTTATGTAACTTAAGTTGTGATATCGATGTCTGCGACAATGTAGCAACGTACCCAGAGCATCTACGCTTTCAATGACTACCAGTATTTGAAACTAGTACTTAAAACTATATAACTCACCATGGATCTACAGGTAGCCTAGCAGAATGATTTCAGAGGACGAATCATGATGATTCCTTGGTCTTCATGTACAAGAGTAGAACTTCCAGTCAAAAGTTTGTATGAAATAAATCTCCCACAGATTATCACACATGTTTTTAAACATATTCTGTACAGTCATGATATACAATTAACTTTCTTTCGGAATGTCATCGTCAACAGTACGACGTCATCAATTTACGCGTCATCGATTTGGGTTGAAATCATTCATAGTTTCACAGGGATTGTCTCAAAGTTTGTTAAAAACAAAAATAGAACATAAATAGAACATCTATAATCGTGTGTTTTGATATTTGCTTTATCAACTCATTGAAATGGTGTATATTCGCTCGGCAAGCCTCGCGAATATACACCATTCAAATCGTTGGATAAAGCAAATATCAAAACACACAATATAGATATCCTCTCTTTCTCTCTCTCTCTCTCTATACTCTTTTTAACTGTTTTCATATTATTTAAAAATTATGACTGTCACCATTAACTTTATATGAACTTTTCAAAGAAATTGCGCTCTCTACTGTGGCTGAGTTAGACAGATTTCTTGTGTCTACTGCAACAGCGTATGTGTCTTTGTTACAAGTCCTCCCAACCAGGACTAGGTGATCAGCTATCGCAGACGGCCTAATGAGTCGAAGAATTTTCTACAAAAAGGGAGAATGACAAATGAGTTATTTATAAATTAACATTTATGTAGCCACCTCAGTCTTAATTTTGGTATGATCAGTTACATGTTTGACCGGTCAGTGACGGATATGACATTTTTAACGTCACAATTGCAACCGTGAATCCTCAGTTTAGGTGGGACCAACCGGCACGTGTCATAAAGTTGTAACTAAGCTATGATTTGCATTTGTTAGTGTTCGATAGTTACAGAAAAGGAATGAGAAGCATTTATTGGGCCTCGGGCAAAATGCGTTTTCCCGAGCCTTGAAACCAAACTGTTATCTTCGGCTTTACAGCCTCAGACATTTTAAGAGTTTGGTATCGGGTTCGACAAAACATTTGTTGCCATCGAACCAAATCATTAGTCTAGATAGTCAAAAAATATGCAATAATTTATGTACTGCAAGACGAAGAAAGGATAGTAACTGGTCCAACGAATGACTCAGGTGACCTCAGTTTCATAAAAATTGAAATGGAAGAGAACAAAACCAAAGTATAGCACATCCAAATACATGTACGTGTAACTATAATATATTACTCCTAGGTGATTTAAAATAAAAGAAAAATTGAAATCTGTTGCAAGAAATTGAAAAAAACTTGCCTGTTTCAGGGTTCCGCGTTTAGTAATGAATTTGTAAACTCCATAAATAGGGATGCAGGTGATGGAAGAAGCGGTGATGCACCAACCTAAGGCTTCAGCCCATGGTGGGTACACATAACCCATTAATTTCATTCCCTCGTATTTCCAACAGGACAAAACAAACAGTATCTGGAAGATACAAAAACATGTAAGAAAAGTAGATTGTATTGATAATAGTTCAAGGTGTGTCGTCCAATTCTTTCCGAATATTGAAAGTAGCGGATTTTTAAAAACATCTATACTTATTAATAAATTTTGCAAATAAACTCCGAAACGGGTGCTCCAGAGATCTTACTACATGTAACTCCTCTATGAATACACTAGATACAAGATGATGTCCGTAAACTATATTCAGATTTCACTCCCATAATAAATATCGTACATTAAATTAAACGTCTACTTTCATTTTCTATAAACAGCCATGGAATAGCAAACACGTGAGTACGGTGGCAGTTCCGGTTGGCGGATCTTTGATACTGGCAATTTTTAATGAAACTGACAACAAGCAATCGCTTATTTATTTCATAAAACGTCATCACTGAATTATTCAATCCAAACTTTAAATGATATAAAAGAAATAAGTTTTAAAAAGGGAAATGTGCAAATTATTTTTGTCATTCACCGATCTTAATATTGACGGAAACTTCTAGAACATCATATAGCTAAAAAGAAAAGCGAGGCGATTATAGCTGCATGAACATAAAAAAAGCTTTTGTGTGAATGGTCATTGAATTAATGGTAAATCATTGATAACACTATAAGTTGTGAATATACAGTGAAACTTGTCTAATCGGGATGTTGTGTAATCCGAAATCTTGTCTAATACAGTGTAAACTTTAACACCCTTGTAGGAACTTTAACTGTTATAAATGTTGTCTAATCCGGAATGTTGCCTAATCCGGCCACTTTCTTTGGAACCAGTGGTGTCTGGATAAGGTTTTCCTAAGAAATTTATCGGTAAAATTTGTATATTACTCACTGAGCGCATAGTGGCAACGAACCCGAAGTACAGTTTGTACTTCGTAATAAATTTGCTTACATGAAGAGAAAATCAATGAATAAGGTATTGTTCAAATACAATTAAAGCTGTTAAAATATTGTGCTTTAATCAATACATTTCAGGTTTTTTTCTGAATACAGTCTTTTGTATCAAATACTAGGCCTATTCGTAGGGCGTTAAAAGCTAATGTTTACAAAAAAAATTCAATTTATCAATAAAATGTGCATATTCGCTGCTTTTATCCTTGAAGGAAATGAAATAAGAGCACCTGAAGTACAATATCCATAATATAGTATAACAGGTTTCACAATAAATGTCAATAAATGAAATTGTTTTAACAGGGGGGGGGGGGGGGGGACGTCTTCTGCTCCAAAGCTAAATGCGGGATTTTGAACAAAGTATTAAAATTTTCTTCCTGCTAAACGCCTGTAGGCTGTCAGTAGAAACTACGAGGGGTTATCAAAAAGTTCGTGGACTGAGGCGATAAAATTTAATACTATGTTGTTTGTTCTTACAAAATTTATAAGGAACATAAAATAACAAAGTTAAAGAAATGTTGAAAATTTTAGATTGATAAATTAAGGAAGACATTATACGATACCACTGTCTCCGTTTAGTTTTCTGACGTCCGACAACGTCATTGTTGCTTAATGCCCGCTTCCTCTACCTCATACACTTATCTCGATGCGATTTGCTGGAGTTAAGTAAGGACCTAGACCTTTTTTGTTTATATGACTTTACAATGTCATGAACAGCTGCTTTCAATGCATATAATATTATAAATGGATCTATACATAAGGAAAGAGGCTCACTTGATTATGTCAACATATTTAGCTTGTCGGAGTTCAATATTTACCACTCATGATCAACGTTACTTTTCGACATGACTGACTTTTGACCCCCTGACTACAAATCGTCATTGACTGTACATCTCTCATCCCTCTGAATCTTTTTTGGCATTTAAAAACAATAAATACTCTGGATACATTTTATTTCTCTGTGGTCCGTTTAAACATTACCTATGATGAACATGTATGATGGAAATATAAAATCTTTATTTTTAACAAAATTTGTTTGGATTGCATGGTACATGTTTTTTTATGTTTATATTTATTAATCAATAATATTAATAATTATATTTATATATATTTAAAATAAAACTTTTATTTTTAAGTAAACGTTAATATTTCTGAACCGTGGAGTTCGGTGTGAAACAATTTTTTGATTTAACTTATGAATTCCTCGCTCTGTTATTCGCATTTTTATAAACATGAAAAGATTGAAATTCAACCTGTCAGATATAACACAATTTTATTAATAAAAAGGATTGATTGATGTTGTTTTACGTCCCGTTCGAGAATTTTTCACTCATATAGAGACGTCACCATATACCGGTGAAGGGCTTCCAATTTAGATCTTTACTCGGCACTCAGGGCCATTGAGCAGTGAGGGTTCTTTATCGTGCCAACGTCTACCGTGACACGGGACCTCTTCCGAAGGACCCGCAACTTTCACTTCAAAGTGCCGAGCGCTTGGCGAAGGAACAGTTGCTACCTATTTTTTTTATCGACTTAAGTCAGTCGCGGCCGTGATTCGAACACACGACCTTCCGCTCACGGAGCGAGCGCTCTACCGACTGAGTTACCGTGACAGTTATTAAAAATGTTAACGCTATATAATACAATGTACAGGTAGGCGAACACGAATTATCTTTCATGAACATATTATCTTTCACACCCCTACTAATGTTATTGTGATTTAAATTCAAGGCACGTGGTATAGGTTGACCCATTCAAAGGTTATAGAGTAATCCGGTTTTATAAATAAAATTGGAAGTAAACAGGAAATTGATATAATCTGTTTCTTTTAAAAACTTTCTGAAAGATTTTCAGATTTTAAACAGAAATGGGTGGGATTTAAAAAATCACAATCTACTTAATTAATCTTCGCTTTTGTGATAATTTACGGCGAAAAATGGAGCTTAGTAGTGTTAATTTTTCCAAAATCGCCCAATACGGTGGTAGAAAAAAAATGTATATGACAAACCTTTGTTTACCTTATATGGCTTTTGTTATTACAGAGCATTTTACCACCAACAACTGACCAATCATTGAATGAATAGCAACATTAACTTGACACCTATATGTTTACATTTTACTTCGAACACGTGGTTCAACTCAATCTACGATCGATATTGAATGGATTGCAAAAAAAAAACAATTAAAAAATGTTTATATGAAAAATACAAATAGTAGAAACTATGAACCATACGTAATTTGTTGTTAGTTAACTAGAAAATGCATATAAAAAATGTAGTCTGTACCACATTCAAAACACTGGTGCTTCAAGGTTAAGGAAAACGAGTAGCATTCCTTACAGTTAGATGGACAAAAAAGTTTTTTTTCGTATAACAATACCCGTGATCATCTGTGCTTTTTGGTCAGGGAACCCACCTCACAATTGTACTCACCGATAGTACAACAAAGGAATGCAGACGAAAATCGCCTTACAGTATGACTTTGATAAACCTAGAATTCCACGTTTATTTAACATGTTACTAATGAATTGTTTGTAATTGAGAGCATGGAAATAATAGAATAAAAATAGACAGCATGAAAATGCATGGGAAAAAAATGTTCTATGTTCCTTTCCGATCGCCTTGTTTTTATTTTTCAAGCGTAACATTCCTGTAGTATCCGTAGTAACCCACAATGCAATTCAACTCATTCAGATTAAGCTATATTGGTACCCCATTTATTAACCTAACGCCTAAAAATAAAGTTCCAGTTCCCATGCAAGCATGTTTGTCCAAAAAGAAATTATAATACATAAGTGCAGGAAATAATGTTATGAGGAATACTTACTGGTGTTTGAATGAATTCAAGAGAGATTGAAGTACATTTCTACAGATATTATTCAGTGGTGAAAATTGAAACGCAAGGTAACTTTTCTGTTTACCATGTATCCACGTGCTAGTTACTTCCTAGCCACATTTCCGTGAATAATTAACCTTATCTCGTTGCAGTCTCGCTAGATCTCGACAGAGCTACTGTGAGAGCTACTGGGAACTCTTCGGATTTTATAATTAATTTTGCAGAACACCGAAAAATAAAATGTTCCGAACACATTAGTAGGGGTGTTTCATAAGTGTGCGCATTACGTAGGGTGAATATGTGCGGATTTATTCACTCGTACATGGAATTTTCAACATGTGATAAAATATACGGAAAGAAATGAAATATTCTTATAAAATATTTTTTCCACTGTTAATTTACAATTGGGTAATTAAAAATTAAGTCCCTCGCGTAAAAATCGAAATCCCAGTCTATATTAACAATGTGTGAATTTAAATTATTTATCAAATACTGATAAATTGTTGACAATTGTGGATTTATTTAAATTCAAAATAAAAGTCATTGAACTATACTATCAGATATAATTTCTTTGAATATTGATTTGTATTTCGACTGATGCAATTTTATGTTTATGTGCATTGCGAATAGAGAATGCCGGGGGGTTAGGGGGTTGGGGGGGTTGGTTGGTTGGTTGGTGCTATTATCGAGAGGAAACAGGCACGTATCGTTGCAAAAAAGACATGTATATGTATAGAGGATACCTTAAGATCCCCGCCCCTATTTTTTCACCCAATCCAACCCTGATAGAGGATTAAATGAAGGATTGAGCAAAGAGCCACCATGTAAACAGTAACTTTCATTTAAGTCGCATTAAACACGTGGAATACGATGCATTTTTAATCAGGTGGATCACATGTAATTCCATAATTAAAAGATGAATCAATTTTTCATTCGACTCAAGTTAGAATTTCTTTTTTTCAATTTAATAAAATATTCATACCTATATTACTACTAAGAAAATTGACTATATTAAGAAAGAAAACACATTTTCTAACTTCTTTTGATATCAAAAGTTTTGTTCTTTATTTTACCTGAACATCTAACTAAGCGCCAAGATTTATTTTCTCACTAAACTCGCGGTTTACCGAGGCATATGCGAACGCTATTTACAGCAAGACATTTTTTGCAAAATCTATCAACTTAAATTCCTCGCTATTCGCTACTCCCGTCTTCTCTAGCTATTTTTGACAGGTACATTTTACGCAAGTTGATTT